GTAGTAGTAGTAGTAGTAGTAGTAGTAGTAGTAGTAGTAGTAGTAGTAGTAGTAGTAGTAGTAGTAGTAGTAGTAGTAGTAGTAGTAGTAGTAGTAGTAGTAGTAGTAGTGGTAGTGGTAGTGGTAGTGGTAGTCGTAGTGATAGTGGTAGTGATAGTGGTAGCGTTGCAGTAGTAGTATTAGTAGTAGTAGTAGTAGTAGTAGTAGTAGTAGTAGTAGTAGTAGTAGTAGTAGTAGTAGTAGTAGTAGTAGTAGTAGTAGTAGTAGTAGTAGTAGTAGTAGTAGTAGTAGTAGTAGTAGTAGTAGTAGTAGTAGTAGTAGTAGTAGTAGTAGTAGTAGTAGTAGTAGTAGTAGTAGTAGTAGTAGTAAGTAGTAGTAGAAGTAGTAGTAGTAGTAGTAGTAGTAGTAGTAGTAGCAGTAGTAGTAGTAGCAGCAGCAGCAGCACTAGAAGGAAGGAAGGAGGGCGAAGGGTGGGAGAAGGAAGAGAGCGGAGGATGGCCCCATGATTGTTTTTCAGAGAATTCTTGGATTCGGAACCTTCGGTTTTTTATGTGTAGCAACTGATTTTTTGAACCGTTGTCAAGCTCGCATGCAGGCCTCCTTCCTTTTTTCTTGCCGTGTTTTTATACGTATATATACACATATATATATATAAACAAATGTGGGGCCTGGTGGGAGGGCAAGGGCACCTGGGGCGAAGAAGCTTGGTGCCTCGAAGAGGCACGAAAGCTTGGAGTCTTGGGGACTCGGGGAAACTCGAGCCCGGGCAGTCGCGGGGGGGAGGAGGAGGAGGAGGAGGAGGAAGAGGAGGAGGAGGAGGAAGAGGAGGAGGACGAGGGGCCACGAACCGTGTGAGGGATGCGCTAAACAAGTAACTCCAATGCTCTGCCTGCTCGAGAAAACGCATGCAACTTCAAAATCCAATCGGTCCCCATGGCCCTGCCACACGTTCCTGACTCGGGAACGGCTGAGCAAGGGAGAATCCCATGGCCTTGCCGCACGTTCGAGATTTGGGAAAACTGAAATGGTGAAAATCCCATAGCCCTGCCACACGCTCGTGATTGCGGAAGCTGAGATGGTGAGACCACCATTGCCATGTTTAGCGTTTTTATGCTGTTGCTAGTCGACATAAGATGATAGCAACTTCGATTCGCAACTTCCCCTGGGGATTATCAAGTTCGGCCTCGCCGCCACTAGCCACAGTCAAATCTTATGGACACGGGATAATAAAGATTCAGGGGGCTAAGGGGGGGTATACTTTATCATCGGGGGCAGGGGTTTATTCAAATATTATAAAAAAATATAGGCTGGGGAAGATTTGTCGACTTTTGATACTATTTGGGGGTATGCTTTCACACTTGAAAAACATGTCTTCCCACATCCGCCGGTGTGGGGACATGCCCGACTTAGGACCAGCGCGGTGGGCGGGCTCTTCTGGCCGCTGCATGGTCGGGCCGGCCACGCGCCGGGTTCTGGCAGCGCTGCGGCCTCGGAGCGGCCCCGGTCGCACGCGCGAGTCTTCCAGGAAGGAGGGGGCTATCCGCCAGCCAAGCACTCGACGACCCGGGCTCGCGCAGAGTACCCTGGGTGGGATTTCAATCAAGGGGTGGGCGACCAATCTTCGGACAGAGCTTGCCCATCCCCCTCGTTCGTCCTCCCCTTCCTCCTCTTCCCCTTCCTCCTCCACTCCCCCTTCCACCCGTGCCGACAGCACGTGTGCCCAACTTCCCGTGGGGGGGGGCGATTGTTGTCACATCGCAAATAGAGAGTCCAAGTCGCACGGTGACGCGCGCGTCGGCCTGGGCGTTGTACTGAGGGGATGGTGGGGATCTGCGGGATGTTTCGACACTTGGTTCCAGCCTGTCGCGTTCGACTTGGCCCTTCTCCTCTTCTCGCCAGGGCGCGGCTCGACGGCGGGCGGCGTGCGATCCGAGAGATTGCGGGCGGGCGCGGGGGCGGGCCAGCCGAGTTCGCCGACCTGGGAGACACGTTGCCGCGAGCCGAGGCAGCCCAGCTTCGCCGTTGCGGCCTTCGGCGGCGGCGCGCGCGGCCGGGGGGGTCCTCGGAGAACTGCGCGCTATGATCGGCACGATCGACATGGGTACGGGAAGACTGGGCACAAAGACCGACAGCATGTCCTGTTCGTTTTGAACAGGCCTTGCTGTCCGCACCGCCGCCGACGTTGCCCTTTTGAGACAGAGGGCCGCCTGCCCAACAGCGGCCGCTGCGGGTTTGGAACAGCATTTGTTGTCGGGCATGTACCCAGTGTTTTCGTACCCATTTCGGGCGTCCACATATGAGCCCTGAAAGAGTCTGCTGGGCAGCCGGGCCACAGCGCGGGCGCGCGCAGCGGCAGTCATGCACCCGCGCGCGGACATGCTATCCCAGGCGGCGCCAGGCCGAGGAAGGCGTCGGGCAGCTCGCGTACTGGCCGTGGGCAGCGCGGCGGGCCGCTCACAGCCCGGGGGGCCGCCAGCGCGGTCGGGCTTCGAATTTCGGGTTAAGTGGGGCATGGCCCTCTACAGGAGGAATGTTCAAGAATACTGAACAATAGTCTGGCGACGATTGTTCGTGCCCTTTTGGCTATGTTTGATTATGGCTTGACTATGTTTTGCTCTTCCACGATCCACCTGTAGGAGGACATGCCCAACTTAATTTTTGCAAGTTCTCCACGTTCCCAGACGTCGCCGTCAATGTGCAACGCCGCGCGATCTCCGTCTCGGACGATGCAGGCGCGGCGGCCCGGCCAGAGTATCTCGGAAGTTGCGCCGCCAGGGGTGGCCAACGTCGAGCAGCACCAGACCGTCAAGCATGTGCGAGCGCGCAGGGCCGGCATTTCCATCCTTCTCCGCTCCGCGTTCGGCCTTTCCCCGTTGCCCCCCGGTTATGTGGGCGCCGCGGGAGGGGCCAGCAGGACAGGGGGATGCAAGAGGAAGAGAGAGGGGATGCGCACGAGGGGATGCGCACGATGTTGCGTTCGCCCAGGCGCCGCACAGACGTTGCGCGAAAGGGGCACTGCTGCTTCCGCGCGGCGCCTGCTTCGTTTTCGCAAACGAAGGATTGCAAAAAAAACCAGGATTGCACGAAGGATTGCAAAAAAACCCAGGGTTGTTTTGCAATCCTTGGTTCATGTGGAGTGCGGCCGCGCCGAGGAAGTCCCACGTGCGTTGTCGCTGGAGCTGTGCGCGGGGACGTTCGGGAAGTTCTGCTCGCGAATGCGCGCGGGGCGTCAGTCCATCCACCAGGGTGTCGGAAGCGGGCCGCGCGCTCTGCTTCTGCCCGTCGGGGAGAACGTGCGCCAGTCCCGGCATTTCAAAATCAAGTTGCGTTGCCATAGCCTCTATATGCCTTTCGTTTTGGGTACCCCCCTTGCTTCTCTCGGCGGGTAACAAACTCGGCCCCTCCTCCTCCTGCTCCTCCTCGCCCCCGCCGTGTCCTCCTCCCGCTCTCCTTTCTCTTTCTCCTCCTCGCGGTCGTTATTGTAGTCGTCGTCGTCGTCGTCGTCGCGGCGGAGATAGTGTTCCTCTGTTGCTGGGCGGGCCGAGCAATGTTGGGGTCTCTTTCTCTGCCCTGCACGCGAGAGAGTTTTGTGAGCGTCGCTGGTTGTAATCGTGATTGCAGTCGTGATTGTAGTCGTCATCGCAGTCGGCTGATGGTCGCAGTCATAGTCGTAGTCAGAATCGTCGTCGTCGTGGCCGGATAATGTTTGGGGATTCTTTCTCCGAAGGAATAGTGTTCCCTGGTCGACCGACCCTGCACGACGGAGGCTTTTTGAGCACGTGTGTAGGAGGATTCCAAGATAGATCGGCACATGTGTGTCTGAAGGAGCTGCTCACAAACTCATTATTGATCTCGTCGTCGTCGTTGTTGTTGCGCAGCGGTTGCCGCGGAGAAGTATTAATTATCCAAGTCTGGTGGGACCCTAGTCCGTCAATAAGTTCGCCGAACCTATAATTCCTCTGCACCATTTGGGGGGTCATAAAGACCTATCGCAGATAACTACGCTCTGCTCGTGTCCGTCGTTTGCCCAGACCCGTCGCCGGCGGACCTCAGTTTGCAGCACTACGTACGCTTGCATGGCGATGCGCAATACCATATGAACGTGACAACAAAAACAAACAACAAAAAAACGTAATTTCCGACACAAGGATAGTGGGCAGGCAGGTATCAAGTTATATGTCTGATTTGGCCGCGCACGTTCGTTGTAAACACAATTTTGCCGTGATAAGGATTTAGGGGTGGTGGTGGTTGTCGAAATGCGTTTATCGAAAAGTGGTTATCGCCTTGGGTCCGCGCGCAACCGTTTACCAAACGTACTACAATATACACAATTATGATGTTCTCAATGACCAACACAAACATGTATTCCCGATTGGCGTTTGCAGCGTTTACTTGTTTTGTTGTCCCACACGCGTGCCATACTTGTACACACGGAAACACGTTCCTTGATGTTCTTGTTGGACTATTTCGTTTGAAAGTGTATGTTTACGATACTCAAATGATTTGACGATGGTGGGCGCTACTATTCACAGCGGGATCTTGTTGAATGGCGGGCCCGTCGGGCCTCAGTCTATAAAGAACGGTTTCGCCTAGCGACAAGGTTGTTGCAGGAATTTGTGATAATGGGGTTCGTCCCGGAAGGGTGTATATCACCATCATCGGTGCGTATTGATGACCGCCGTCGTCGTCGTCATTTTGATTTGTTTCTCCCCCATCGTCTCCATTCGTTGTCCTCTTCGCCTCCCTCCGCGTTTCCCTTCTCCACCTGTTCCTCTCCCTCTTTCTCCTATCCCGTTTCCCCCCCCCCCCCCCCCGCACCCTTCGATCACCAGCACCCTCTCCCCATCTCCCCTCCTACCTCCCCCCCTCGCCCACCCTCCTTCTCCATCTCTCCCCTTCCTCTTCCTCCATCCCTCCTCTTCCCCATCCCGGAACGCGCTGACCTCCGCATCAGTTCTACCCGCGGCATGCCCCCTTCCCCGCTCCGCCCCCCACGGCAGGCCGAGCGAGGGCGCAGCCCGGCCCCGCTTTCCGCTGCGAGCGGACAGCCTTTGTCTTGAGCCGGCGCCGCGCGCGCGGCTCTTCTTCAGCAGACATTGCCATTCTTCCTACGGGACAGGAGGGGGAAGGTGAAGATTAGGGAAAGAGGGAGAAGGTTAGGGAGGGAGGGGGGAGGGAGAAGATTGGGGAGGGAGGGGAGTGGATGAGGAAGGAGAGGTGACCCCCGTCCTGTCACGGGTCAGGGCGGCGCCCCAGGGTACGCGTTGAGGAGGAAGGTGAGAAACGGGATGGGTGCGTAGGAAGGATGAGGATGAGGCGGAGATGAAGAGAAGGAGTGGCCCGGAATGGAATGGACCAATCGCGTGGCGATGTACGAGAGGAGGAGGAGGAGGAGGAGGAGGAGGAGGAGGATGAAAAGGAGGATCTGCCCAGTCAGCCCTGCCGCCTCTTCTGACTCCCCCCTCCCCCGCCAACCACCCATCCTTCTTTTTTTCCTCATTTTCCTCCTCCCCACCCCCTTCCTCGAACTCTTCCAGTTCTCCTCCCTTCCACTTCCTTCTTTCCCCCTTCCTCCCCGCTCGATCGTTTCTCGCCATCTCCGTCATAGCCCCCATTCCTCGGCACAGCACCTCTCCTCATCCTCACCAATCTCTGCCTACGTAAGTGATCGTCCCACTGTCGTCTTCTGCTGCTCATGCTGCTCCTGCTTCTCGCTGCTGCTGATGCTGGCTCTCCGGCCGTTCCTCGTCACTGTCGTCTTCCTCCGTCCGCGTCTCACTCGTTTCGCGGGTCCTCCTCCCTTGTTCGTTGCGCAGACATTGGCGGGATGGCCGTTCTGTCTACACAACGATCTGGTAGAAGTGAACCCATAAAGCATGCACAATGTCAACGTCAAACTGTTATCACCGCGGTGCAAGCTAAACGAAATTTCGCGCGCGGGGAGAAACCAGAACTGGTGAGTAGTCCGCAAGGACCGGAGCTTTAGATTGAGCACCCGCCCGTTCGAACCGCACGCAAACGTTCCAACCTCCTTTTGTGCAACGTATGTGCTATGAGAACAGTGCAGGGTCGATTGAAAGATGCCCTTTCAGGTGTTCGTCTTGCCTCGGTGGAAAACTTGGGCAACGCCATCGCTTGACTGACAGTCGGGCCTCTGCAAAGATGTCATTGGCCTTTCCCTCCCCGAGGGTCAGGTTAAATGTAATCCTCCGATGACGATGAGCCGATGATGAGGATGTCTCGAGCGGTTTGCTGGTTTTCGCACTCCTAAGGGGGGGGCGCCAGGAGGGATCTCAAGGCCTCCGTTCGCGCCAAGATGGCGGGGATGTCTCGAGCGGTTTGACTGTTTTGGTCGCGAACATCCTTCGCTTTCGGAGCAGATTTTGAGGATTTCTCGTGCGAGGCGTCTCCCAAGGGGGGGCCGCCAGGGGCATCTCACGGCTTCCGTTCGCGCCCGGATTGCGGCGATGCCTCAGGCGATTTGCTTGCTTGGGTCGCGGACATCCTTCGTTTTCGGAGCAGAGTTGGCGGATGTCCCGAGCGAGGCGCTCATTTCGCCCCCCAGGGGTGCCAGATTTTGAGGAGGTCTCGATCGGTTTGCCTGTTTGGGTGGCCAGACTCGTGGGCACAGATTCTCCCCAGGATGCCACAGGAGGCTCCAGCAGGCTCAAGGAGGCCCCAGGAGGCCACATGAGGTCCCAGGAGGCATCAGGAGGCCACAGGAAGACTCAAGAGGCCACAGGATGTCCCAAGAGGCTCTAGGAGGCCCCAGAAAGCTCCAGGAGGCCCCAGAAGGCAACAGGAGGCCCCGAGAGGCACCAGGAGCAGAAGGCCTCAGAAGCAACAGGAGTGGCTCCAATCCCATGTGTTTTACGAATGTTCCTACATTTTGGGCCTCACCTGGAGCACGAATCCTTGATGTTATACGTATGCTTATATTGATTGTCTTTCTCCTGTGTATACAATCCTAAATGTTTTACGTATGCTCCTACATCGGGGGTGGACAGAACCCCCAACAGTGACACGTCGATTAGTGAATTGTCCGGTTTCGGTTCTCGAGAGGGCACCGTGGCCGTTATTTTCCAGGCTTGCGCCCGCCAGGTTTGGGCTAACGGGGGGTCTGTCCATCCCCGACTATAGATTGGGCCTTCCCTGGGGCACGAGTCCTTGGTGTTTTACGAGTGTTCCTATAGATTGTGTTTCTCCTGCGGCTCCGATCCGCAATGTTTTATGTACGTCTGTTCCTATATGTTGGGCCTCTCCTGGGGCACGATTCCTCCCTAGGAGGTCCCAGGAGGCTCCAGGAGGCCCCAGGAGGCCACGCGAGGCTCCAGGAGGCCTCAAGAGGCCACTCGAAGCCCCAAGAGGCCCAAGGAGGCCCCAAGAGGCTTGTTAAGGCCACAGGAAGCCCCAGGAGGTTTCAGGAGTCCCCAGGAGGCCCCAGGCTCATCCGCAGAGACGCGCTCGCACTGTTGAGACTCATTCACACTCCAATTCATTCGCTGTTAGGTTCATGACCAGACCGTCACAACTCAAGCCCGCTTACATTCGAAAACCATTGCGCCTAGACACTCACGGTGGACAGGTCCATGCGAACATATACACACATGGGGAGCTCCACGCAGTGAATAATTATTTTCACCGCGCCTGAAGGACACCCTCACTCCTCACTTCCCTCCACCTCTTCTAATTCAATTACTCAGATGATGGTGGCAGTGATGCTGACGACAATATTGATGCTACTGATGACGATGCTGATGATGATGATGATGATGATGATAATGATGATGATGCTGATGGTGGTGATGGTGGTGGTGATGGTGACGGTGATGGTGGTGATGATGATGATGATGATGATGATGATGATGATGGTGACGGTGATGGTGGTGATGATGATGATGATGATGATGCTGATTATGATGATGCTGATGATGATGATGATGATGGTGATGGTGATGGTGATGGTGATGATGATGATGATGATGATGATGATGATGATGATTATTATGATGATGATGATGATGATGATGATGATGATGATGATGATGATGATGATGATGATGATGATGATGATGATGATGATGATGATGATGATGATGATGATGATGATGATGATGATGGCGGAGCAGATTATGAGGATGTCTTGAGCGAGGCGCAGGTTTCCCCCCCAAAGGGGGAGCCGCCAGGGGGTAGTATCTCACTCCTCCCGTCGAGCCAAAACGGCGGGGATGTCTCGTGCCTGTTTGTGCCCCCAGCATCCTCCGCTGTCGGAGCAGATGTGATGTCTCGAGCGAGGCACTCCCAGGGGGGAGCCGCCAGGGGGTATCTCACTCCTCCGTTCGCGCCGAAATCGTTGGGATGTCTCGAGCGGATTGCCTGTTTGTGCCCCCAACATCATCCGCTTTCGAAGCAGATTTGGAGAATGTCTCGAGCGAGGCGCTGGTTATCGCACGCCTGGTGGCCCAGATTGCGAGGATGTCTCAAACGGTTTGCTTGTTGCTGGTCAGACTCGTGGGCGTGGATCAGGATACCCCAAGAAGCTCCAGCAGGCTCCAGGAGGCACCAGGAGGCCACAGGAGGCCCCAAGGAGGCCACAGGAGGCTCCAGGAGGCCCCTCCAGAAGGCCACAGGAAGCCACATGAAACGCCTGGAGGCACCAGGAGGCCCCAGACGGCCCCAGGAGCTCCCACGAGGCCCCAGGAGCAGGAGGCCTCAGAAGGCCACAGCAGTGGCTCCAATCCCCGGCATCCAATCCCCGGCGTTTTACATATGTCTCTACAGATTGGGCCTCCCCTGGAGTCCGAATCCTTTGTGTTTACGTATGTTTATATGCAGTGTCCTTCTCCTACGCATCCACTCCTCAGTGCTTTACATCGGTTCCTGTAGATTGGGCCTCCCCTGACGAGTCCTTGGTGTTTTACGAGTGTTCCTATAGATTGTCCCTTTCCTCTGGCTCCAATCCGATGCCGTGTTTTACGTTTGGGCACGAAACTTCCCCAGTAGGCCCCATGAGGATCCACGAGGCTCCTGGAGGCCCCAGGTGGCCACGCGAGGCCCCAGGAGTCCTCAGGAGGTCACCAGAATCCCCGAGAGTCCACAGGAGGCCCCAGGAGGCGTCAGGAGATTCCAGGAAGCCCCAGGAGGTTTCAAGAGGCCCCAGGAGACCCCAGGCTCATGCGCAGAGACGCACAGACTGAGACTCATTCACACTCCAATTCATTCACAGTCAGATTCATGACCAGACCGTCAATACTCAAGCCCGCTTCTATCCATAAGCTCTTGCGCATAGACACTCACGGCGGACAGGTCCATGCTACTAGGTGCATATAGGGGGAGCTCCAGGCACTGAGTATTGTTTTTTATTATTATTGCTCTTCTTCTTCTTCTTCTTCTTCTTCTTCTACCTCCAGTCCTCGTCATTCCGCGGAGGCGGTGCTGCCGGGCGGCCGCTCCCCCCCCCCCGCCTCGACGTCTCCCCGCGGGGGTGTGGCTTTTTGGGGGGCCGCTCGGCTCTCGGCGCGCCGCCTGGCGCGCGCGCGGGGCGCTTGCCTCCCCACCTCTCCGCGGGGCGGCGCAATCGCCTGTGCTTGCGGCGCCTGGGGGGCGCCTCCTCCCTCCTCCTCCCTCCTCCTCCTCCTCCTCCTCC